CAGTATCTCTTGCACATCTCGTAGACAATTGCGAGATTAGACTATTGCAAGCTACTTCTGATAAAATTCCCGAAAATTGCGACAAACGCATAGTTACTTCTAAGAGAGGCATTTTTATTCAATTGTCAACCAGTAACACTTGGATATTTGCAGTACCTAATACAGAAACTTTAACCATATCTTGTACCAATAATGATAAGCCAATGGATGTTACTTTAAAAAATTGTGGTAGCGTCACACTTGCGAAACAATGCAAGGCTTATAGTTCTTCAACAATATTAATGCCTCATGACAATATCTATCAATCAGAAGTGTACAGTGAAATTGTTCCGCCATTTGATATTATTGATGAGTGTTGTGAAAAAGTGAAAGAACATCAGATAAATTTTTCGGAAATTGTGTTGAACCAACATTATAAAACGTTGAGTAAACACATACCCGAACTTAACATTGCTAGTCATAAGTTGGACGATATAGAAAAATTACCAGATGATATTCACAAAAACAAAGCTACATCTCGCTACACATTTTCTGCTTCTATACTGGCGTATATTTTAGCAATCATTGTACTATTTTATTTAGGTTATAAATTCTATAAGAAATGCATTTGTCAAAAAAATAAAAATTCTTGTTGTGGCATTCCCAATTTGTGTATTAGAGTCAATCAAAATGTACAGCCATCCTATCCAAATAATGAATATGCAGCTCGATATATAAACAGAAATAGAGCAGTAAGAAGTACAACTGGTGATGATGATTCGGACGAGGAAAATGTTTCATTAGAATTTCCTCAACGGAAAAGTATTGGCTATGCACCAACAAGACGAGCAGTCAAATAAACTTAGTTTTCATAAACATTTTCTTCCTGATGTCATTTACTGTTTTTAGCATAAATATAGTTATAGGTTATATAGCTATTAGTCCATTTTTTAATTGTATCATATTACTTTAGAAATAACTTACTATAATTATCTACTTAAATTTTATACAAGCTTGATCAGAGATTTTACTTCATTTGATTTTTCATTTAAATTACATAAAATCTCTCATTAAGAGGGGAGGTGTTATGAACCAATAAGATAACACAGTGATTATAGGAACATTTAATTATATCTCTAATTTTCTATTATATTTACTATGTATTTTGCAGAGAGGCCTGACCATGCCTTGTCGGCTCAATATGGCTTTACCTTTCGGACCCTTGTTTTATATCCCTCTATTTTCATAAACTGTTAAATTGTCGGAATGATGTCCAATAACTATTTACGTGCCCGAATAGGGTTTAGTTTTTATTATTGTATAAACTTCCCAAAAAAATCCCAAATCATTAAATATTTTAGCACCAATATAAGTAACATCTGTAAAATAGCGTTAAGGTACTTTCAGTGAATAACTAGAGGAACTCCCGCCCTTTCGAAGGAGGTTCCAGGACGTTTCCTTCTTTCAGGAAAGAAGACGAGAAGACATTGAGAATTCCATCTTGACTCTGACAACATCTAAAGTTACCTCTCATAACTGACAAAGTGTCCTTCCCAAAACTTATAAATTTTCACAAATAAACGAAACCTTTTTTTATTAAATCAAAAGATATAGTTTTAATTCTAGTGTAGGTATATTTGGGATAAAAGTCACAGTTCTTGTGGCTCAACTCCTAACAAAATGTATTATTGGAATTTGGGTTTTTAATTTCTTTTTTCTAGCATTCCAGACTTACAAAAAAAAGCTCATAATTCAGTCACTCAAATAATGTTCAAAATAATAATAATTTTAAAATAGAGAATAATAATATGTACATTAAAAATTGAGACTTCTGAGATGAGATCAAAAGAAAAACAAACGCCAACTTATAGAAACTGACTTGAAAAAGATCTACTGCGAGAAGTCTTTAAAAACTAATCCACCTCAAGCTCAAGTCGTCATCCCAATCAATCCCCTACTTTTTGAACGGAGATCGAATTTAAAACTAAGTATGTATTGCAAACAAAATGTGATCAGATCCGAAAAAATATGTATATTTTTTTTTATGTGAATTAAGTATATTTAAATTTAGTTTTCAAAAAATCGATCCCCATCCAAAATTTGGGGGATATCAAGAACTAAAATTAATTTCTGAATTAGATAATAGTAAAACCTTAAAATAACTAAGATTTCTTCTGGACCAGCTTTACATTGTATTAAGTGTGTTTTGATAGATTCCGGTTTGAAGCGTAACCTTTAAAAACTCACTTAAAAAGGTCACCCGCAAGAAATCTCTACAATATAATTGTGCACACTTTGCGATGAAATTAAATTCGGTAACAGTACTTTGATAAGCACTAAGTAATAATATCAGCTAAAATCTGCTAGGTATACATAGTTAATACTAATGATTAATAACACTCTATTTAAGATTTTTGCTGGACCAACTGTACAATTAATAAATCAGTTTTCATAGGTTTCGGTTAAATTAAATCCCCAGTGCCAGTAAAAAACCGCTTCAAAAATGGCCACCCACAAAATTCTCCACAAACTATTTCACCAAAACCTCTTAAGTTACTTTTTGAATAGAGACCGAATCAAATAAGCGTGAAATTAAGCTTCAACAAGTAGTAGTAATAATTAAAAATATCGGAGACCTCGACAAATGCTGGAACAATGATTTCCTGGAATACCAAAGGCTGAATTGGCTATAGTTTCAAAAGTGTTATTCAAAAGCCGGTCTCTATAAACATAGGTAACTCTTATGAATTAAAATATTTCCTAAATAAATATTAACTTAATTAGGATTTCTGCTGGACCACTGTACAATAATTATTAAGTTCGTTTTCATAGGTTCCGGTTAAATTAACGGCCATTGGCAAAAAAAGTCGTAGCTTATGAAAACTCACTTAAAAAGGTCAGCCGCGAGAAATCTTGCAATGATTTTTTAGTACCTTTCATCTTTTTTCACAAATATTTGATTATCTACACGAGAAAACGATATACATATATGAACAAAATTGAATTATTTTTGGGCTGATATTTCTATCCTAAAATTCGACCTCCATTTATTAAAATAGATATGCCACTTGATTTTATATCCAGTTAAAATTGATAAAATATCCGAAAATTATTAGATATTTACTGGGCCTGCTATACAATTCAGTTTCAATTCAAAGTATCCTTTCACTTATTGAAACTTTTCCAAAGGCCGCTTCCAAAAATCTCTTATGGAAGGAGACGATACTCTGATGAAGTGTGAGTAATTTTTTGTTTCACTCACAGAGAAGAGATTTTCAAATTTCAAAAATTGGAGAGTTTGAAATGGAAAATTTACGAAGGGTGAACCGCAAGGGTAATCTGGTGTTCAAATTAAGAGGAAATCTAAAGCAATCAGCGGCAATTATCATCATTTTGCCTTCAACAATATGCACAACAACAAACGAAAAACAATTCTGGAAAACACACTTTCACTCTTGAATAACAGGTTCAATAAATAACAATCTAACAATTCAAGTGACTAACTGAAATCCTAATATATGTGACGTTTACGTTGACGTTTAGTTATCGGGTGTACTGGTGTATACCACCAGTACCTGGTCTCGAACGGGTTGCTACATTCCGTCCTGTTTTTTTCAGCCTCAGAGGTTCAAGTCGGCCTGTGACGTGAGTCCCTCCAAGATCTTGGCTCCATTTTGGTCTCCAGGCCCTGGTGAATTGTCTTCTTGCTTCTTTTCTTCCGGTGTTTGGGGTACTGATATATTGTCTGATATTTTGTTAAAGTGAGAAACATGTGTTTCAATTATTTTTCCATTTTTAAGTATTTTCGCCTCATTTTCATTTATTTCCATTATTCCATATTCCCTATTTTCATACTAAGTTGCGAGTTTGTGGGCAAATATTGTTTGCTGCACGAGGTCTTTATCTCCAGGTTTTAGTATGGTGTCTCTTCTTGGCTTCTTTTTGTCCTCTCTTTCCTTTCTTTTTTGCTTTTTGATTACATCATTGTCATCTGCTTCTTTATCAATTGTATTTTCCTTAAAAAGGTCATTTATTGAAGGAACTTTATCTCGGATTTTTCTATTAAAAACAAGTTCCGAGGATGATTTACCTCTCGTACCTTGTCGTACATTGTACATCAGAATTGTAATAGGGTAAATACACCCGGTATGGCATCTGATGGTGCAAATTGATTAGTTAGCTAATATTTTATTATTATATTATTGCCGTTACCTAATTGTTAAGTCAGCAGGTACAATGACCGCTGTTCGCTTATGAAAATGCATTATGATATTAATATACATTATGAAGTAAACCAACATAGTAGTTTTACTGAAGGCCTAAGAACCCCAAATCGTCTCGAGTTATTACATGGCGACCCTGCCAGAGGCCTTAATGTTGGTGAAAAATTCTAAAAGTAAGATATAATTGGGAGAAAATGAGAAAGCAGCAGTCCAAAATTGAGGAAAAAGTGGTAATAGCGCAATCTGGATCTGGCGATGCCACCACTAGAAGTCAAGATAGCCAAGGAATTTCACTTACAGAGGCGCTACTTATAGTTATAGTGGCCGTTGTTTTATTAGCAGTGCTCCATTTTCTCGTCAAAACATATAAGGAAAAAACAAGAAGATCTATTAGAAGGGAGATTATCAAGCACGAGTTAAGACGATCACAAAACAATCTAGTTGATGTCCAGGAGCAGTAGTTTCTTTTTTAGGTTTTTTTTTTAGGATATGAGACATGCAAGAGTCAAAAAATAATACAGATTCATGATACGTTGGCAATAGTGTAGGAACAAAGAAGTATTTCCATTGAATTAAGACTTTATGAGAAAAAAAAAAAGCTATTATTAAGTACTTAAAAGTTATAATTGAAACCATGTAAGTAATTTTATATTTTAGTGTTGTAAGATTGACATTTTTGTGTATTATTATTGATAATTGATAGCCAGTAAGGAAAATATGGACCCTTAAAACAGGTATGCGCGTAAATCTTTTTTTTTTGGAAAGTTGATTTTCTTTTTTTTTTGACTTGGTTATTAAATGCGCGATAGTGTTTTAGATAAAAGTTATGTTTCCTTGCAAAAAATAAGAAGTTATATTGTTAAATTAAATTACGAACGGCGCAAAACTCCAATTTTTGACCAAAAACTCAATGAGGCAAAAGCCATTTACTTGGAAGTAAAAAGAGAAGTATCCTCGATTAATCAAAAAATATACAACTCTGAACTTGATGACTCTGAAATCCGCTTAGTTAACGAATTACTAGTAAAAATTAATAAACTTTATGACGAGATTCTAAATTTTAAAGATAAGCAAACCGAAGCAGCAGAAATGGCTTCATTTGATCTTAAAGTTGCTGTTAGTTTGTTACCAATTATGGATGATACCGAGAATACTACGCAAAAACTTATCGACGCAATAGAACTTTACGATTCTATGCTTAATAATGAAGGTAAACCTTTATTAATTAAATTTGTTCTGAAAACTAGGTTGTCAAACAGTGCAAAGTTGAGACTTAGTACTAGTTATAACTCAGTAAATGATCTATTGGGTGACATTAAAAAGCACTTTTTAACTATTAAATCTGATAGTGCTTTGCAATTGAAGTTATTTCGTTCTAAACAAGGCGATAAATCTATTGAAAGTTTTGGAAAAGATTTGGAGGAGCTATTCGTTAATTTAACAATATCTCAGGCAAAAGGAGATGAAAATGCTTACAACGTATTGAAACCAATAAACGAAAGGTTAGCTTTGGAACAATTTACGGATGGCCTTCGCAATCAGAGACTGAGTACGATAATGGCCTCGCGAAATTTTTCCTATTTAAAAGACGCGATTAGAGCAGCCCAAGATGAGGAAACAACATTTTTTAATAGTAACCCTCAAATTTATACCGCTTCTAGGAGAGGTCAAGGAAGATTTATGAGGAACTCTATGAGAGGTTCTTCTCAAAATAGAGGTTCTTATTCGAATAATAACTATTCCAATAGAAATACAAATTTTGCAAACCGCCCTAATATAAATTTTAATAATGCAAATCGGAATAATAATAATGGGAATTTTCAACAGTCAACGTTTTCAAAGAAATTCTCGTGGCGGGTTCAACAATCGCGGAACCCGTACTAATCGTTTTTCTGGGTCAGATAGGCGACATAACATACACAGAGAGAAAGGAATTCTTCCATCAAATATTGCGATTTTCTTTAAAAAATATTTTTCAGTTAAGGCAAGGCATCTTGGATGAAAATATTATTATTGATTTAAAAATTATAATTTATTTCTATTTAGAAATATTTATTCTTAAAACATATTCTTGGAAATAGTAAAACTAACTCGACTCAAGAAAAACCTAGTTTTATGTAAAACAACATCCAACCTGTATATTCTTGTATCTATCAATATTTAAATCAAATCAATAATCTCCGGTTTTTTCAAGTCAAGCCAAAAATTTAAATTTTACTTCATCCAAGAATTGCATTATATGGAATATTCTTGAAACAAGACAAGCTGTGACTTGATCCGCACAATTTTATTTTGAGTGGGTATCTAAAACAAATTTCATGCAGAATTGCAGTCAGTGTTTTACTATTTGTGGGGTGGATTACAACGACCGGACGCCGGGACAGAACGTTTTGTGCGTAACACGTGAGTTTATAATTGCATAAAAAACTACCAAGAAGAACTATAAATAGGGAATATTCGGAAAATAAAGTTCTACGAAATATTATAAATGGAAGCGTTTGATCTTCCAAATTTAATAGTGATACTTTACCCTTAGTATTGTATTATGATGATTTCGAAAGCGGAAATCCACTTGGAAGCCATGCAGGAAATTATAAAATAAGCGCTATGTATTTTTACATTGCAACATTACCACCTGATCACATTAGCAAATTAGAAAATATATTTGTTACTTTCTTGCTTCATTCAATTGATAAGGCAACTTTTGGGAATTCTGTATTTCAAACTATTATTAATGAATTAACTGTCTTAGAAACTAACGGAAATGATATAAATATAAATAATAAATCTGTCAATGTCAAATTAGCATTGGTGCAATTAATGGTGATAACCTAGGAGTACATGGCATACTCGGATTATTTGAAAGTTTTTCAGCTACACATTTTTGCCGATTTTGCCTTATTTCTAAAGAAGAAACTAAAACACTTACGCATGAGATACAAGAGTACATGCGAAAAGAGTCTGATTATGATGATCACTTGCATCGTAAAATTGGTGTTAAAGAAAATTGTATATTCCATTCATTACCTAACTTTCATTTGTATAGAAATGTCACTTGCGATGTTATGCATGACTTATGCGAAGGAGTTCACCGATATAGTATGGCCGTTTTAATCGATAATTTAATTAGAAAGAAATATTTCACATTGGATAACCTAAATGCTAGAATAAGATATTTTACATATCAAATTTCTGAAAAAAATGTTCCTCCTCCCGTAACAAAACAACATTTATTAAACGGATGTATTATTTTCTCGGCATCAGAAATGTTTGATTTAATTCCGGATAATGAAGCTTTATGGATATATTATTTAAGCTTATTGGAAATTACACAAATTTTAACTAGTCAATCAATAACTACTTCAATTTTACAGCATCTAGAAACTCTCATTGATGAACACCATCAGACGTTTCTCGCTCTTTTTAACACTTCTTTGAAACCCAAATTTCATCTTTTGGTACATTATGTTCACATAATAGAAAAAATTGGTCCTCCTATTTTCATTAGCAGTTTCAAAGGTGAGGCCAAGCATAGAGATACTTTTAAATCTCTATGCTGTTGGGTTTAAAACTCAAATTATCACACTATTCTTATTTTATTTTAAGAGTTATTTTCCTTTTTTTTCCAATGGCTGTATTTGAAAGAAGACTGATAATTTGAAGACTACCAAAAGCAGATTTAAGTTGTGAATATTTGAAGGTGTTATTTATTTTTATTTTTATTAGTGTTAGGTTGAATACTCAAATTATCACACTACTCTTATTTTATTTTACTTGTTATTTTTCGTTTTTTTGTTTTTCAATGGCTGTATTTGAAAGTAGATTAATGATTTGTAAACTATCAAATCTAAAAGTACAAACTCAAATTAAATTTATTCTAGGTTGTTTATACTTAACACAGTTATAAAGTTTCGTCATTCTCTAGTTTAGTTACATTGTTTTTTTAATAAAGAAAAATAAAATTTGCCAGAAAATATTTTTTTTTTACACCTAGTTATACCCAGTACAATAATAATTGTGCTTGATTTTAGGTACCTAGTATATATTTTTTTCTACCTGATGTAACAAAATTACGTGTACAAAAAGTGAGTACTTATAGATACCATAACTGAAAATAAAAATATGGCAAGTTTGATTGGACTCACCTATTCTTAAAATTTGCTTCATTTTTCTGATATGTAGTCTCTTGAAGTGACAAACATCAATATATTTTTGAAGCTTTGAAGTGGAAAAAGTACACTAAATCCATATAAACTCACCCTATTGTGATGTAGGGTATCTGTGCTCACCTTTTGTATACGTAATTTTGAAACATCCTCTAAACGAAAATATAATAGGTACCTAATATCAAAGCACAATTATTCTTATTTTGAAAATATGAATAGGTGATGATATTCTTGAATCAAAACTATATTTGAAAAAACGATGCTTCATACAAGAACAAGTATTCTAAAATCAAGAAACTGTATTCTCCAATTTTATACCCGCATACTAATTCTAAGAAAATATTGATTTGAGTTAAATAAATAAAATTCTCTATTGGAAATTCATTTTATGCGAATTTGTTTGAATTGAATACATGACTAATTTCCTTTAAATATATGGAAAATTCTTCAAGGAAATAAAATATTTTCTTTTTATGAAATAATATACGCAAGCAATCTCTTTACTTACAAGAAGAATATATTTTTTTCGTTATATATAAATCACTTATTATCTTGGGGCAAATCAAATTGGTTTAATTGGAAATATTTTTTCTTTATGTGTAAATGTTATTGAGAGTAACTTAGGTAATGGTCAGGATGAAAACTTGCAAGCTAGCACGTCGAGGGCGAATAACCTAATACCTACGACTTCTATGGAGAATAATTTTTTTCGTCCCTAACAGGAAAAATAGAAATGAAATATTTACGTATTCGGATAATTTTACAAACACCGTCAATTTCATTATCTTTAATAAAAACGTAAAATTTATGGTCGACACAGGAGCTTCATTGTGCGCAATAAAATCAAATGTTTTAAATTCAAATTCACGAGTGATAATGACAATGTAGAAATAAAAGGAGTCGGAGGAACTATAACCTCACCAGGTTATGTTTATCTAAAATTGAAAGTTGGAAATATATCTTTTGAAGAAAAATTTTACATTTTTACGTCACTTACTTGTTCTAGCGATGCAATAATTGGCGAGAATTTTTTAAGAAAATATAATGGTATCCTAAACTACGAAGAAAATACATTATCTTTAACAAATTTTGAAGATACCATAATTTTACCTTTTAACTATAATAGCAATGATAATGTGTTAATGTTATCTCCAAGATGTGAAACAATTTGTCATGTTTCGGTTGGTATAACAGAGGATTGTGTGGTTATACCAAGCGAATTATGCCAAGGTGTTTTTATAGCAGGTATGATTGTAAGACCTGAACAAGGAAGTATTTAAAATAAAAATTTTAAATACTCGGGAAACTGATGTTTGCTTGAAAAATTGTATCCCTAAAACAAAAAGGTTAAGCTGTTATGAATTCTATCAATTTTCAAAGTCGGACATATCGGTGGCTCGTGTGAAAACATTATTTGAACTACTAAAATTGAACTATTTAGACCCGAAAGAGCAAAATTCAATCGAAAATATTTGTGCTAAATATGCAGATATTTTTCACATGCCAAACGATAAGTTAACTGTCACTAATATCTATAAAGAATCAATTCAGTTAAAAAAAAACGCTACACCCTCCTATGTAAAACCATACAGATTGCCTTTTTCGCAAAAATATGAGATACATAAGAAAGTCTCGAAAATGTATGAGGATGACATCATTGAAAGAGCACAGAGTGAATGGTCTTCTCCGGTTCTGTTAGTCCCAAAAAAAGGTTTGACTGAGGATTCAACAAGATTAGTTGTAGATTATAGATTAGTTAATCAACAAATTCGCGACCAAAAATTTCCACTTCCCAATATTACCGATATTTTTGATTCCCTTGCAGGAGCTATATATTTCTCACATTTGGATCTTAGTCAGGGATATTATCAGGTAGAGCTAACTGAAGAAAGTAGAAAGTACACAGCATTTACTACTGATCGGGGCCAATGGCAAATGAAAAGGTTGCCAATGGGATTGAAAATTAGTCCAAGCGCATTCTCGAGGCTCATGACAGTTGCTATGTCGGGACTAAATTACGAAAAATGTTATAAACTTTTGGAGTTCATTTTTATAATTATTTAATCCGTTGTTGTGACATATCTGCAAAGGTTTCAATAGTGGATGGTTCATATTTTCAACCAAACCGTTAGCTTGTGGCCAATAAGGTGGCGTGTGAATTAACTCAATTTTATTATCTTTGCAGTATTTCTTGAGCTCGTATCTTATGAACTGTCGCCTATTATCGGATCTAATAGATTTGGGAATGACAAGTTTTGAAAATAATTCAATGAGGTAATTTATTTTTATTATGGATGTGGTTGATTTTAAGTATTTTATTTCCTGATACTTCGAGAAGTAATCAATGATAACTAAAATTCCAGCAAAATGGACGATTATGAGGCAACAATAGTAAAAGATTCACCTATCACCACAAAGTCAACGAGCAAGGACGAGGAAATGAACAGTAACAGAGAATGACAAATCGAGACCAATATGGCGGCCAGTCGTTCTAGATCGACGTCATCAAGAAAAATGAAAAAATATGGTCAGAAATGCGGTGTTGTGGTGAAACGCATCCACCCCATGCAAGTATAGGACCTACCAGTGCGATATTTGTAAGAAAGCAGGTCATTTAGCTAAGGTTTGTTCAACAAAAAGAAGTTTTAATTTTGTAGAAAAAAATAATGGGTATGTACAAAATTTGGATTATTATTCTGATTCTGAAGATGATAAATTCTATATTGAACAAGAAAGTACAGCAGCAAGTTTTGTTCCACTAAACTCCCGCATTATGCCATTGCTTATATCAGCATATTAATATTATATGAAGGAATCTAAGATTAGAATCTAGTTAGTTCCTTTGTACCGTTCTTGAGAAAATAAAGTTTTTCAAACAGGGTTTTCTGTTTATCAGTCACGTAACTGGCGCAGTCGGTAGTGCGTTTTCGAGAGTTAGTCCCGGCTTAGCAGAAAATTTGGGTTTTGCGGGTCGTCGAAAAATCAAAATTGACTTTTTGTGTTAACGATTAACTGTCTAACGAAAATCGTTCGTTGAAACCTGAAAAAATAAAACTCTTATAACGTGCGAATGAGCTCACGTAGTCGTGGATTGAGGAACAAAAATCGTCCGACAATCTGAGGTACAGACAGAGGAACAAGCATCGTCCATCAGCCCTATTGGTACGGATAGAGGAACAAGCATCGTCCTAAGTCCATAAGCAGCTAAGTTAAACCAAGTTTATGTCTATCAAAGCGTATTTGATATTATTACTGTGAGTAATCCAATTTTTTCATATTTTCCTCATAAAATTGAGTTTATCCATTTTATTTCGATTTATAAAAGTGTAAACATTTGTTTTATCATTTTTCAAAAAACTTGAACGTGATAACGAAATAGAAGACTTAGCAGGTTTTCTTGAAAACTTAGTAATAAATAATTTATTTGAAGAACTAATCAATATGGCTAATCCAAACTATCATTTAATCAAATACCAAGCTGCTAATATTCCACATTTTGATGGAAATACTAGAACCTTAAGTAGATTTATCACATCATCTGGACATTTCCTTCAAAATCATCAAAATAGGCAAAATCCAGCTGATCCTGTTTATTTGATACTGTATTTGGAAAATTAACAGGTAGAGCTGCAGATTTAATTGCATCTCGAACAGAGCTTGACACTTGGCAAAAAATAAAAGATTCTTTAATTATCACATTTTCTGATCCAAGATCTGAAGATTGCCCTATGCAAGACATATTAACTATGAAATTAGAAAAAAGTGAGTGTCATAATTTTGGTTTGAAATTACAAGACGTTAGAAGTCCGTTATTTTCAAAAATTAATAATCCCAACGATCCTGTCAATGTGAAATTATTAAAAATTCAACAATTTGAAGATTTGTGTTTGAAAACATTTATCAATAATCTTAACTGTCACATCCTGATTCACTCCAACAAGCCCTTGCGATTGTCAGAGAAGACAAAAATTTTCTTCAATTCAAAAACAAATCGAACCCCAATACTAAAAATATGCCTACTGGAAATAATAGTAGCAACAAAAACAAAAATCCTTGCAATAATACATACAATTTCAATAGATCAGTTTAAAGAATAAATAACAACAATAATCAGAATCGAAGTGTACCCGAACCAATGGATACTGCATCCGGCAACACTCGAATTAATACAATTCAAAGACCTCGCCAAAATAATTTTGTTGCACAAGAATTATTTAATCAATCTGTGGACACTGTATCTGAAGATAATACAAAAAACCAAACTGAAATTGACTCAGTTCAAAACTCTAATTTTGACGAAACCAATAATTTTGATCCAAATGATTACAATAATTATTAGCAACCTTATCAACC